GGAGACAGGGAGTTCTAGTCCTGCCTTAGGCATGAATGGAGGATGGGCGACCTGGGGCCAATCACCAGGAGACGGTGAGTTCTAGTCCTGCCTTAGGCATGAATGGAGGATGGGTGACTTTGGCCCAATCACCAGGAGACTTGTGAGTTCTAGTTCCACCTTATCCATAAAAGCCAGTTGGGCCAGTTTGACTTTGGGCCAGTTCCATTCTCTCTCAACCCGCCTCTTAGGACGGTTGTTGTGGGGGGAAAATAGGAAGGAGGAGTATTAAATGTTTGTTATTTATGAAAGGGATATAAAGGAAAAATATAAACACCCTTACCGAAGACCTTGAGTTGGGTCCTTCCAGTGTCACTCCCAGAATTGCTGGTCACTTGGCAAGAGAATAATTTTTCATCGCTCACATCGATGGAAGTAATGACCAGGCTGTTGTTGGAATCCATGTGGACACGGTCCGTGTACTCCGTCCCTCGGTCCACGCCTACCGTACCCTTCACATTGTAGGCCACACGCTGCTGCCCGCCATTCCTGTCCATCTGGAAGTTTGACATATTGACGTGTTTATGGATTTCTCCGACCTTTTAGAGAACAGCCTCTGGTGGGATTCATTTTTTTTTTTTTTACTATTGGTACTATGGGTCCAATCCCACCTCTGACTGGCCCCGTCAACCCCATCTATTCTCTGCCTCCCGTTGAGTCCCAGCTGATTGGCTGGGTCTTCTTTGGTTGCCCTGCCCAGGAGAACGGAGCTGGAAAGCAGGTTAGTGGGGTGGGGAGGGAATGGGGATTTTGTAGTATCCTTCCTCTGCCATGCCCACCAAGCCACGCCCACCAAGCCACATGCCACGCCCACCAAGCCACGCCCACAGAACACCACACCCACCAAGCCACGCCCACAGCTGATCGGCTGGGTCTCCTTTGGTTGCCCTGCACAGGAGAACGGAGCTGGAAAGCAGGTTAGTGGGGTGGGGAGGGAATGGGGATTTTGCAGTAACCTTCCTGCTGGAATGTGGTGGGAATGGAGATTTTAAAGTATCCTTCCCCCTGCCACGCCCACCAAGCCACGCCCACCAAGCCATGCCACGCCCACCACTCCACGCCCACAGATCCGGTGGTAGTAAAAAATGTTGAATCCCATCACTGCTCCCTAACCCAAACCCTAGTCCAACTATGCCCTCTTCTCCTTGGCAAACCCACAATACTCACCGTAAACCATTCCACCAGGAGGTAATCCTGCTCTTCCATCGGTGTGTAAGGGCAGAGGATGGGTACCTGCTGGCCCATAACCACCTCCATCTCGGCTACCATAGACACCTGGACCTTCTTGGCTTGGCATCCTGCAGGGGAGAAGGAAAGACCATTAGAAGGAGTCGACAACACCCCAAGACCTTGCTTGGCTAAGAAAGTCCTCTAGGAGTTTTGCTCAGAGTCTAGCTCTGGTTGGCCCGAAGGCCTCCCAAAGATCTTCTGTTTCCCATGCTTGGTTCTCGCTTCTTCTCTCCCGTTGACAGGTTTGGAGCAAGTGACCAGGTTAGATAGACTCTGAGACGGTCAGCAGCCAAGCAAGACTACGGTTGACTAAAAACCTGGTCCTTCTGTCTAATTCGGATCAAGTTTTCAATGCTTGTTGCCTTAGGAATTTTTCAGGCAAATTGCAGCCCTAGGGAATCCACCCCATTGCTGGGGTTACTACAATCCAAGGAAGTTTGGATTAGGAGAAGCAAAGCAGAAGAAGAACCTGAACTGCAACTCCAACATAAGTCCTTGACTTATGACCATACTAGCTGGATACCTCGTGCTTCGCTATGTGGTCAAGCTTAGTTTTTGGGGAGGAAAATAAGGGGGGGAAAAACTCTGTCTCTGCCTACCAGCATCCATCGGTATTCCTCTGGCTAGCGGTCTGTCAGTATGTGAGAGAATTGAGGGCTGTTTGGAAACTGAAAGAGTATTTGCTGTGTGAGCAAGGAGACAGCAAGGAGCCTGGGCGTGGCTTAGCTCAACTGTTCTGTACTAAAGCTGCTTGGTGCTGTGAAACTGAAACTGAAACTCCTCTGCTTGTGTTTTGCATTTGGAAGAGATTTCTTTCCAGGTGGGGAGGGGGAGTAGAACTCCTTAGCATCAGAGCATATTAATAATAATAATAATATAGGAAATACTAATGCTCTGGGTGGTCATTTCGAAAAATCCTTTCTTAGCGAGTACCTAGAAGCCAAGAGGAACATACGTGCCAAATTTCAAGATTGTAGGCTTTATGGTCCTGGAGATATTGTGATGATGCTTTTATATATATAGAGAGAGAGATTTGGGGCCAGAATTTATGTGGCTAAGCAGGGTCAGTTGTTAAGCAAGTCCTGCCCAATTTTATGACATTTTTTTTATCATGGTTATTAAGAGAATCACTACAGCTGAATCATTAAGGTCATTAAGAAAATGTGGCTTCCCCCCATTGGTTTTCCTGCTCGGATGTCAGCTGAGGTGGTTACAAATGATAATCACATAACCCATAAATACATGCCAGATGCCAATCTGCCCGGAATTTTGATTAGTGTGATCGTGGGGAATTCTGTGGCCGTCGTAAGTGCGAGAACCCACTGTCGCTTTTTTTCAAAACGATTGTCATGTCGAATGGCTGTAAGGTGAGGATTAGCTATAATGAACCACTGACAGTCCCTAAAGACCTGTCCTTCTCAATTCGACCACTTTTAAGATGGGTAGACTTCAACTCCCAGAATTCCCCAGCCCTCCCCCATGAATTCCCCCCCGGCTGGTGAATTCTGGGAGTTTGAAGTCCACCCATTTAAAACGGCCAAGATTGAGAAACACCGCTCTAGATTCTGCATATTATCAAAAGTCAATGGTGTGTCACTCCTCACAGAGAAGACAAGGCTGTCCATTTTTCCCCGTTTAAAAAAAAAGGGAGAGAGAGAGAGAAAAAACTTCCCTTTTTGATTCTGCTAAGTTTTGGACCCTCAGCCAACTCGCTCACAAACGTGCAAACCGACCTCCATTTTGTCTCCTCCTCGGCTGCTGCCAAAAAGGCTTCTGGCATCTCTGCTACGAAAAAGCCGGCCCAGTTAAAGAACCCAGTCATCTTAAAAATGGAAAATGCACATCATTTTATTCTGCCTTCCCTCTGCAACAAAAAGCCGCCTGCTGCTTCTTATCCACAAACCACATCCTTTCCAATTGTCAGGCTCTCCATTCAAAATTTGGCGCCACCGAAACAACCCTTAACATTTTCCAGCTTGCACAAATCAAGCGATCCAGCTTTGGTGCTGAGCCCAGCGGTAGGCAGCCGCTGCTCGGTTTGCAGAATATCAGAAATGGGAACGCACTGAGGGGGGGGGGGGGACAACAAATATAGATTAAATTAAAATGAAACGACATGAATTGCAATCCATGCAGCTGCTCCGCGGGTAGTGAGTAGGTCTGCTTGCGGCCTAGCACAGATAACCTGACGATTCCGCTATCTGTTCAGAGTCCTGGCACTTTGGAGAGATCTTTTCACTTCCTCTTCCAAGCTGCTGGAAGGATCGCTAGGTTCTCACCAAAATCTAGCCTGATCCCTTGCAAAAGGCCAGGTTTGTCAATGGGACCGCAGCTGTATGCAGCTCTAGAGGCACTAGCTGTTGCAAAAGGCATGCAGTGTCTATCTATCTATCTATCTATCTATCTATCTATCTATCTATCT